CTCCTCCTCCTCCTCCTCGCTACTTTTAAAAAGTGCGCGACAATGGGAGGTTCGGCGCAGCCACTGCACCCTGAGGTCGCGCACAGCAAAAGCGGGAGAGGCTGCTGTAGCCACGCCTCTCCAGCGAGCCTCTGGCAGAGCACGCTCTGTCAGAGCCACAAAAGGTACTCTACACTGCCAGGGGGGCCAGAGCGGCTGCGTTTGCCATGCCTCTCCGGACCTCTCCTCGCTGCCACCATCCCGATCCTCTCTTCCTCCTCTCTTGCCCACTCCCCCTTCCTGCCTGCCGTCGGGCAAGCCTGGCAAGAGTGCGGGCACACATGGCGCCGCCCGACAGACCGTGAGTCGAACCATACCATGGCCTCTGCAGGGGCTCTGCTTGACAACACTTAACCCTTATGTAGGGAACCCGCCGCACGCCTCTTAATTAGGGAGGAGGCTGACCAGACTGCGCCCTAGAAGCTAAAGCTGTTGTAAGACTGCGCGCCGTCGGAGGCTCGAGTTCCCAAGCCAACTCTGACGTTTGCTCTATACAGCTGGAGCTAGATCCCGAATCGGTCCCAGGGGCCGTTACATCGACCAAAGCTTGGGTGAGAAAGATCGCATTGCCTCGCCGTGATCACGCTGCGCCCGGTGCCAAGAAGTAGCCTTGAGAGCCGTGGTAAACTCGCTGACAGAGCCACAGTTGTCACTGAAAACATTGCCAGTCTCGATGGCACCCTTGAAGTGGCTGCGGAACAAATCGTCGCACAAGAGGTCGCTCACGTCGTCTCCCTCCAACGAGTTCAACCAATGGAGGAACAAGTAGCCATACTCTCTGGCCAGAAACCAGGGCCTCGGGTGATGCCGCACGGCTGCCGCGAACTGGTTCGGGTCCACTGTCATCAGATCGCAAGTGTGGTTGCACTTCAGCTCCCCCAAGTGCCTCCAGTCCGTCCAGAGAACGGCCTCGCTGATCCACGCGCCTTCAATTATCGGCTCCTTCTCTCCGTCCAGCCCATGCCTGAAGTCCATGCACGAGCCCTTCAATCCAAATGTCTCGTCTTGCTTGAGAAAATACATGAACCTGCCCTCGTCGCCGAACCTGAAGACCACCTCCGACTCGGCAAAGATGATCTCGCTAAAACAGAGGCCGCAAAGCTGGTGGCACCTGGCATTTTCTTCTCCTTGCAGAAGCTGGAAGCAAGGAAGTCGGCTACGCGCAGGAGCGACCACAGGCAAGAGGACCTTTGATGCGAGTGTTGCAGGCCGCTGCGTGCGATGCGACGGCAGCGGCCTGCGTGCTTGGGTTGCCCTCGCCCTCCAAAAAGAAGTGCGCACACCACCAAAGGTCACCCTGGCAAAGGGTCATTCATACGTGCAGCCGAAGATGTTTCTCCACCACGGGCCAATGGTCGGCATGCCGGAGCTCGTCCGACAAGTCAGCCGAAAGCTTGTCCAGAAGCGTCAGCTGGCCTCTGTCTACCCGCCTGGGCTTGCCCATGACCTGAAACTCCAAGAACTTGCAGACGCGGCGCCTCAGATCCTGATTGATGTTACGCTGCTTCAGATACTTCCGCAAGAGCCAGAAATCCCGAGTGACCTCGTTGCTCATGCTCCGCAGCGTCGTCATGGAGCCACTGATGCTTCCTACTATGGAGGAGAAGCACACCATCGCGACAAACAGTACGACAATGGAGAAGGCACGTTCGACCTCGTTGGTCGCGCTGACACTCATGCTTGCGGGCGTGAACTGAGTGAGGCTCCAGTGTCCGCCGACCCCCCTTCAACGGGCTGACAAGACTTGAAAAAGTTGAAGCGCCCTCAGATTGTCCCCTCCCAGCGGGACCCGCCTCCCTTTTCAACAGCGAGCCCATCAACACATCTCGCGGGCCCCAGAGGCCCTAAAATTTGTATAGTACGACCTTGAAATCGCCCTTGTGCTCCAAACTTGCCTCCAAAACCGCCCAAGATGGCCCCAGATTGGCAACGATGGCCTCCAGATTGCCCCAATGGGCCTCGAGAGAACAACACAACGGCCATTGAGCCTCCTACGTAGAGCGCGTCGATGCGATAGCCCAGCCGAGCACTCCCACAGCTCAGGAGCCCTCGTTGAGAGATTAGCGCCTTCATTCCTCGCACCATGCATATCGCAAATCCTCACGCATCCTCGTCCATATCAAGGGGGCGCAAAGACCGAAAACTTGCCCAAAAACCTGCCCGAGTTTTCTGTTGCGAGACAAACACAAACGTTCCATTTCGGTCACAATTCCAGCCACATTACGTTTGTGACCACAACTTCGGGCACGCTTTCAGTCACAATGTTCTTTCGGTCATATGCCCTTTCGGGCCGGGCGCTACTTTCCCTACCTGGGACACCCGAGCATCTCGTGTCATCGTCACGGATACATCGGCGTTACAAAAGTTTCGTCAGAACATAAAAGTCGATCATCTTGCATAAGCAAAGACAAATGCCGCCCCGGTGGGATTTCTAGAACCGTGTGAATTTACGTCGGGATTTCAAAATGTCCCGTTTTAAATCTGTACTATTATAGTAAGGGGTGAAATCCCACTTTTCGAAATCCCGGATCTTTGATCCGACCGCTCTTGACTCAGTCCGCTAGGATTCTACGGGGAAGGGGGGGCCAGCTCGGCGCGGCCGGGGCAGTGGTCAGCCTCTGCCCGCGTGCTCACGCGGAAGGAAGACACGAAACCCATGCCACCTTCAAGCTCTCATGAAACGTGACGAACTTTTGTAACGGCGTAGTATGACGACGATGATGACGAAAACGACGATGACGGCGATGACGAAATGACGAAAGCCTCTCAAATAGCGAAATGAGATACTTGTCCAGCATGGTGTGACGATCGATGCTCAGATGTTCTCGTGTCCAACTCGTCCCGAACTGCTCCGTCTCCGAACCGATGAAAAACCAGGCGCACGCTATCACGTGGTTCATCACGGAAACAAGGAGCAACAACTTGACCAGGTGTATCAGGATGAACTTCCGCTCGTCCTGAGGAGGAGGAAGAGGAGGAGGAGGAAGAGGAGGAGAGGAGGCGGAGGCGGAGGCGGAGGCGAAGAGGAGGAGGAGGGGGAGGAGGAGGAGGAGGAGGAGGAGGAGGAGGAGGAGGGGGCAAGAGGAGGGGGAGGCGAGAATGAGCAAGGCCTCGATGTGGTCGTAAAAGCTGTGCAAGATCCTCTGCAGTTTGGCCAGCCGCGCCAGTCGCATGATCCTGATGGCGCGCAACGCCTAGAAGGAAGAAGGGCAAAATCAGTCAGCATCGAATCGATAAATCGAATCGGATCGAAACGCGCATCGAATAAGGCCGCGTCGGCGAAGAGTCGAAATTGAATCGAGTCGAATCGGCCACAACAGCGCCATGCAAGTCAAGCATCGGGCCGCATCGGATCGTCGGAATATCGGACTAGATCGGATCGGGCTGGCCAAGCCGATATCGAATCGGATCGATCGAACCGAAGTCGGCCCTGCCGGAGACGAAGAGGGGGGGACTGGCGCCGCGCAGGACGAAGCGGGGCGAGGCCTTCCAAGTAGGTAAGGGGTTTCGTAGACGCCTTCTGTCGAACATAAAATAACTGCACAACCATAAACTCTCAGAAATCCGCGCGGATTGCCTGGACGGGTGCTGACCCCCCTCCCTGGCGCGCGGGGCCCGCCAGGGGCGGCGCCGGAGGCGCCGCCAGGGGGAGACGATGCACGCGGGGAAGTTTGACGAAAGGGGGGCTTAAGAGAACTCCCGGAAACCCCACCATACAGCACCTAGCACTCTGCCACGGTAGTAGTCCCACCCATTGTGTTCTCAACGCGTCCACTGCGACCCAAGAGGCCTCGAATATCGCTTCAAGGCAGCAGAGGGCCCCGCGAGGCTCACCAGCGGGCCACTGAGAGCCCCACCAGAGGTCCATGGGAGGATCATGGGGCTTAGGTGGGCGCTCCAGGGACTGCCTCGGGGCATGCGGGAGCCCAAGAATGCATCCGAGAGAGGCCAAGAAGGCCCCGAGAGAGCGTCGAAGATAGTCCCAGGAAGCCCCCAGACGGCCTCAGGAGAATGCTCCAGAGAACCCCGACAAGCAAAACTCATGTACGCGAGCGGTTCACGCCAGTCCGCCGGACCCAGATATGCCCTGCTCTTCGCTGCCCAGTCTGTCCGTCTTTCATCAAGATATAGGAGTTAGTCCGGCTGGGACACCCAGCGCACCACCAGAGGCAGGGGGGAGCGAGACCATATTTGATGGCGGAATTCCGGGGATGAGCCCTTTTGGACCACCGCCTCTTTGGACGGTGGTCCGCGCGCCTACGCAGGGTGGGCGGCGGGAAAAGCGAACGCAGCCCGCGCCGCAACGGCTGCAGGGGGCGGTGGAAGGGAGAGAGAGCGCACGGCAAAAGGCCTGATAGATAAAGCTGGATAAAGCTGTTAAGGGAGAAAGCCCCCAATAAAAGAAACAAATCCGACTGGGACACCCGGCGCTCTACTGGACGGGGGGGGGGGAGATCTTTCTTACTGGCAGAACTCCAAGGATGAATCCCTTTGGACCACCGACCATTCGCGCCAGGTTTCCCCGCCCCCCAGTCCGCCCCCCCGCGTCGCTATCATCGAAACAGACTGCGGGCAGGCGTTTCCTCCACGCACCCAGCCACGCCCGCCCTCTGCCCCGCACGGGGGGGGGCGGGCACTGCCCCTGCGCGCGCCCTCCCGCCGGCAGCCCCACTGCCTCGGTGCCGCACCGGCGCCGACGGCTTCACAAGGCCAGGCGCGCCGACGAGAACTGGGGCGCGTACATGGGTTACTGCCCCAGGCAGTCCACCCACAAGTTCAAATCCCCCCGCTGCTGTCCCCGACTTCAGGATTCCAGTGGGTCGCGGGCGCCCCCATCCAGGGCCCCAGGGCCCCAGGGACCCTTCGACCGAGGGGGCGCCGTCCCCTGGCCAGGGGGCGCCGCCGGCAGACAGCGCGCAATGGGGATGGGCCCGGGAACTGCCACTAGTAGGCCGGCCCATCCCAGCGTCCCAAGCTAACGCTCCTCCAGCGATCCCCAGGGGTCGCCCTCTTCCCTCCCGGGCCCCGCGCGGCGCCCCCCACCGTCAGTTGGCACCCTCGGGCCGACATCGCCTCCGCCAATCCCCCTCGGGGCTCGCGCGCCTCCCACGGGTAGGCGTGGAAGGCGTCGGATGCCCACCTCCAAAAGCGCTTGGGCCTCTCCGGGTCGGGCACCGCGCGGCACACGGCTGTCGCCCCCCCCGACGCGCAAAGAGCGACTCCCGACATGGGCGGGGTCGACCCCCATTGTCTGCGCGCCCTGCCGAGGAAGTAGGTCCATGATGCCCCCCCGATGGGTTTCCCCTCCTCGCCCCTGAACAGGGGGCCCCTCTCCGAGACCCGCCGCCGCGGGGCGAGCTCCCCCAGCTCCGCCGGCGCCCTCGCCGGGCAGAGATCGTCCCCAGTCCGGTAATGGTTTCGTCGGCAGCCGAAATTACATGGTTCGGTGTTGCCCCCTCTTAATGTAAACGTCCGCATTTCCGAACGAGTGGCAGACGCTTCCTTCCCGGCGGGGGCTCGCGGGCAAAACCCGGCCCTCCACCCAGGGTTCGCCGGCTTCCGCCAGGTACCCCGACCCCCTCAACATGATGTAGAAGGCGAACGATATGACCGCCCATTGGGAGGCGCCCCCGGCCCCCCCGGCGCTCAGCCCCCCGTGGAGCCACGACAGCATTTCGATCGCGACGGGGTACTTCCGGTTCTGCTTGGCCCCCATCCGACGGAGGCCGCCCAGGGCCAGCCACACCCGCGGGGCCAGCTCCAAGGGGTCTGGGCGCCCCGACGCCACGTGGAAGCGGCGCGCGGCGAGCAGCTTCGCTCGGATAGCACCACCCGCTCTCCCTCTGCGCGCCTGGCGCACTATCCGGTCCAAAAACACCTCCTCGTCTTCCATTCGCCCTTCCGTCCCGAGCCCCATCAAGGAGGTGCTCTGATTCTGGGCCTTCGTGAAGTAGAGCCACTGCTGCCAAGCGGTGGAATAAGCGGCCCGGGCCCCCTGCGCGAGGCCCCCGACGATATGCCCGCCCCGTTCCCTGCGCCTCTGCTCCGCGAGGTGCCCGCTGCCGACCTGGGTGCGCCATTGATTCTGTTCCCTGGGTTCTCCCCTAAGACGGGGCTCTCTCGTTCCTCCGCCCTCGGCCCTGCCCCTGAGCCCCCCATCCTCGGCTAATGAGAGGTGGTGGGCCCTCACCTGGCGGCGTTGGCCGATGGCCCCCCCGGCTGGGCCCCCATTCCCGCCTCCCAGACGCCCCCAGCAGTGGCTGATCCGTCTGGGTACCCCACCCGTCTCGAGCCCTCTCCCGCCGCGGTCGGGGCTGTCAAGCCCAGTGGCGTGACGAGATCCGCCCAGGCGGCGAACGCCGCGGCCAGTGGAACAGCAAAGAAGCCCCCCAGGAAGAACATCGCAGGCATGGTGGGTCCCGAACGGGACTATGGGCGTGTCCCCATCCGCAAAAAATGAACGCAGCACGTGCCAGAACGGCTGCAAGGGGAGGGGAAGGAAGGGAGAGAGAACGCACGGCAAAAGGCAGGATGAAGCTGTTAAAGGGGAAAACCCAATCACCTAGACATGAGACCGCCTGCAGAGGCCCTAAGCTTCCCACACCATGACGGCAGGAGGAGGAGGGGGAGGAGGAGGAGGAGGAGGAGGAGGAGGAGGAGGAGGAGGAGGAGGAGGAGGAGGCGGAGGCGGAGGCGGAGGCGGAGGAGGAGGAGGAGGAGGAGGAGGAGGAGGAGGAGGAGAAGCAGGAGAGTGAGGAGGAGGAGGAGGAGGAGGAGGAGGAGGAGGAAGATAATCAGGTCGAGGAGGAGGAATCAATTCCGCTTCCTCGCCCCGTTTCGCGCCCTTCCCCCAACCTCAGCAAGGACTTTGGCAGCCCAGGATGTCGAAAATGGCTGAGGTATCCAACCGCAAAGTGGAGCAATGTGTTAGTTTGCCCGCTCCAGCTCGTGCATGACACTCGTCGCAAAGCCTTTCTTTCCAGCCTCCGCCTCCTCCTCCTCCTCCTCCTCCTCCTCCTCTCCTCCTCCTCCTCCCTCCTCCCCCTCCTCCTCCTGCTCCTCCTCCTCCTCTCCTCGTCCTCCTCCTCCCTCCTCCTCCTCCCTCCTCCTCCTCCTCCTCCTCCTGTATTGCCAGCGGGAGCCCCATCTGGATCGTCTGGGTGGGTGGGGCGTTGGGCCTCTTGGGGCGGTCTCGTGCCGCGAGAGCCTCAGGAGAGCTCCAACGGAGGCCCGACAAGGTGCACGAATCCGAGACTACAGAACTTCTATAATTTGGCTGATAGGGGAAGAGACTGGGCAGCGAAGAGCAATACATTCGCTCATCCTCATCTCTGGGGCCTGCGGAATGGCGTGAGCCTCCCGAGTTTATGAGTTTAGCCGGTCGAGGTCATCTAGAGCATTCTTCTGAGGCCCTCTCGGGGCTTCTGGAACCCTTTTTCGACGCTATCGCGGGGCCTTCTTGGCCGTTCCCGGGGCTACGCACCTTGGCCGTCTCGGATGCATCTCTGGGCTCCCGCAACCCCCTAGACAGTCCCTGGAGCGCCCACGTGAGCCCCAGGACCCCCCCAGAGATCAATGTTGAGGCTCTCAAGGGCCCGCTGGTGAGCCTAGCAGTGCCATTTTGGAGCCCGCTTGGACTGCAGTGGACGCTCTGAAAACAAAATGGGTGGGACACCCATCTCCACCGTGCCCCCTGGCATGCTGAGGCGTGACAGAATGCCAAGTTCCCCCTGGCGGCGTCTCCAGCGCTGCTGGTTGCACGCTCCGAGCGCCACGGGTCAGCACCGATCAAAGAGATCCATCCGCGCGGAGCTCCGAACGTGTTTTGTCTTCGACTTGAAGATGACAAAGGGGTTCTTAGACGACGCCTTCACAGGGGCCTCACAAGAAGATACGCCCCCCGTCCCATCTCGGAATCATCTGAGACACTCGTATACGGGGCAGAAGGTCTTTCTGTGGGCGAGGGGCCTTCTCGAAAGTCCCCCGCTGACTCTCTCGCCGTGCGCCCTCTTGCGCGCCACCGAGAGGGGGAGGAGGTGGTGGAGGAGGAGGAGGAGGAGGAGGAGGAGGAGGAAGAGAAAGAGGTTGCCCCCCAAGAAGAACACTGAACGTGCAAAGCTCCTCAAGGGGCTCTAACCGAGGACTAGCTACCGACTGGGCCAATCCTTTTCCATATCTTCCCTCACTTCCTTCTCTCTGCCCGCCTCGCCCCCTGCCTTTTTCCTCCTCGGCGTAGATTGGTCCCCGCCCCATAGCCCCAGGAGGTTAATTTGTAGTGCTGCGGCGGCCGATGATGGGTTGACCAGGCGCTCTGAGAACTCCGAGGGCTGCGAGGAGGTTTCTGATTGCGAGCAACGGCCTTCAATACCTTGCCAAACAAGCCGACCGGCTGTCCACTGGACCACGCGTCGCTGAACTTCACGATCCACCCTGGGAGCACAACGAGGATGTCGATCAGGCACCACCCCCTCATGTAGTTCCTCAGAACCTTAGCATGAGAGGTCACGAGTACACCCTTGTCGAAGTATGCGAGGAAGAAGCCCTGGACCATGTCTGCCGTCCAAAAGAGCAATGTCACCCAGTCCATGGTGTCAATCAAATTGTCATCGCTGATGTGAAAGCTGATGACGAAGGGGATCGTGACGAAGTCGTAGAAGATGAGGCACAGGCCAACGATGTCCCAGCACAGGCGCTTGGTGCTGTCCGGGCGGATGGTGCAGTCTGTGCTCTCATCGAGGATGCTTTGCGACGACAAGCTGCACGCTCTGCGGGTCCACCTCAGCGAGCTCCTGGGGAAGCAAAACAGTACCGATACCACTGCTCCACTGACCTCTCTCGGGCTGCGTTCTGACCAGGATTTCAAGGCTAATCCAGCCGTAGCGACGAGGGTGCTCCAGCATACAAATTACCCTGGCGACGTACCCAACCCTTGCGCAATGCGAGGCACAAGTACATCAGGATTGCTACAACGGGGGCGATGCCGTAACATGGACGCATGTGATTTTGCGAGCAGCAATCGTAAGGCTCGCAGGCCCCCGATCAAGATATAAGGGCGACTTAGTGGTTACTGACGCAGCCCCCCCGGGGACGGAGAGGTCTCGCTCAGGTCCCCGCGGTGCCTCACTCCGCTGGACCCAACAGCAGCCCTCGAAAGTGGCGACAGTGTCGCAGATCGCAGCCCCCCAGGGACGGCGAGGCCTCGCTCAGGTCCCCGCTGTACCTCACTCTGCTGGACACAAAAACAGCCCTCGAAAGTGGCGACGGTGTCGCAGATCGCAGCCCCCCAGGAACTGCGAAGTCTCGCTCAGGTCCCCGCGGTGCCTCACTCCGCTGGACCCAACAGCAGGCCTCGAAAATGGCGACGGTGTCGCAAATCGCAGACCCCCCCCCAGGGACGGCGAGGTCCCGCTCAGATCCCCGCGGTGCCTCAGGCCGCTGGACCCACCAGCGTCCCTCGAAAGTGGCGACAGTGTCGCAGATCGCAGCCCCCCTCCCAAGGACGGCGAGGTCTCGCTCAGGTCCCCGCGGTGCCCCATCCCGCAGAACCCACCAGCAGCACTCGAAAGTGGCGACAGTGTCGCAGATCGCAGCCCCCCAGGGACGGCGAGGTCTCGCTCAGGTCCCCGCTGTACCTCACTCTGCTGGACACAAAAACAGCCCTCGAAAGTGGCGACAGTGTCGCAGATCGCAGCCCCCCCCCAGGGGCGGCGAGGTCTCGCTCGGGTCCCCGCGGTGCTTCAGTCCGCAGGACCCACCAGCAGCCTTCGAAAGTGGCGACAGTGTCGTAAATCGCAGCCCCCCAAGGACGGCGAGGTCCCGCTCAGGTTCCCGCGGTGCCTCAGTCCGCAGGACCCACCAGCAGCCCTCGAAAGTAGCGGCAATGTCGCAGATCGCCTACCCCCCCAGGGACGGCGAGGTCCCGCTCAGATCCCCGCAGCGCCTGTCCGCAGGACCCACCAGCAGCCCTCGAAAGTGGCGACAGTGTCGCCGATCGCAGCACCCCAAGGACGGCGAGGTCCCGCTCAGATCCCCGCGGCGCCTCACTCCACAGGACCCACCAGCAGCCCTCGAAAATGGCGACAGGACGGAAGCGGGAGACGGGAGGCGGGAGGAGATAGAGGAGGAGGACTGGAAACCGCAGTGCTCTGTTCAAAACGAATGCCCAACCAAGGAGGGTTGGGAAAAAATGAAAACGATGGAGGTTTAGTGGTATCGGTACCTTTTCTCCTCTGAACTCCTCCAGCCCTGCATGGCAAACGGCCCCGTGTTCGCCGACATCAACGGGGCCCGCTTGTTCCACTGGTCCCTGGAGGGAGAGAAAACGGCGATCATGACCAAGACTGAACGCCGAAACGTCCGTGCCGATCTTGGTCACCGATCGTAGTGTCAGGAGCCGAACTCTATGCACTGACGCATTTTCCGTCCCCGCACTGGAACTCGCACAGGAAAGAGGATCCTGGTGTATACGGGATCCTGGTGTATACATTTGTCGTTGTTTCCCCGGGAAAGCGGGGAACAAAAAAAGTACACCACACCACCCCGACGTCGCCTTCGACCCTCAAAAATTCCTGGGATTGCAAAACAGCCCTCCACTGGTAACGTATATGCTCCAGTTTCCGATAGAGGTCACTGTCGATTAGTTGGTCATCCTCGCAAATCGGCGACGGTCGGCATAGACCATGACCAAGGTCCGCGTCGACAAGATCCCGCGACATCTTGGTCATGATCCACGTGTTCCTTCCCACAACCTGAACCCGAACGGCGCGAGGGCATCCGACTCGTCGCCGGCGCCCGGGATCCCGACCACATGGCGCACCGCGTCGTCGCGGGTCTCCCCGGAGCTCTCGCTCGGGATCGCGTAGCACTCCTGGACGCACCACAAATGTCGCGTACATCAGGTTCGTGTCGTGACGACTTCGGCATGTGTCTCCGAAAACCACATGGATCGCTCAACCTTGAGTCTTGAGCGATCGGCGCTTTGCGAATCGGCGGATCGTCCTATGTTGGCCGATTCTGGGCCCCTCGCGGCGTTCAACCTTGAGCTCCCGCGCTGTGTCGCTGCCGCGTCGGCAAGACGCGAACCTACCGTCGCCTCGTCTCTATCAGGGGGGTGTCCGGCGCCCGAATCTTTCTGAGCAAGCCCGAGTGTGGGCGAAATTGTTGGTTCGAAACCTATATGCTTTTCAGTTTCGTTCACGGTTTCGATCGCGCTACATGTTCGCTCACAATTGCGGGCACGCTCTTGGTCACTGATCTTTGTTGTTCGGTTACCGACCCTTGTCAGTCGGCTGATAGGGGCCAGGTGCCATGACAAAAGCGGCCGGAGGAGATGGGGTCGGAGGATCCCGCCGCATCGCCGACGCATCGGCGATGCACCGGCGGCGGCGAGATGGAGGAGAACGTGCTCCAGATCGCGCCGCCTCGGCCGATGCATTTGCGATGCGGTGCGATCCTCCGAGCCCATCGGCTCCTCGGAGGCCGGCCAGCTGAGACAACGACGGCTCTCCCGCCCGGCCCAAACGACCGCTCAAGGCTGCTCGCGGGACCCGTCCGCCCTGACGCGCTGTCCAAGGCGGACTCAGCCGTGGCGACGAGAAGCACCGGGGAGGCCCGGGAAGGACGGAGCACGCCGGGGAGAGGGCCGCCGCTGCCTCCGCCATGGCCCTCCTCCGATCCTCGGGCCACCTCCCGAGACGAGCCAGCCATCACGAGGGCTGGAGGCTCTCCCTCTCCCTGAGATTCGCTCGCTCGGCCATGCACCCAGAAGGACGCGTCGGCAGACTCAAGGCTGCGTCGTTGGCAACCGAGTGGATAAAACAAGATGCGCGTCGGCAGCGGCAGCTGGAGCGCCAAATGCGCCGGACAGGTTCGCACACGGAGCGCCGAACGCGCCGGCAGCTGGAGCCCAATTGCGATGACGATCTTAGAGATGCGCCCGCAGATACTGAGGGAATCCTTAAGATCGGCGTCAAGGTACGGTGATGCCAATCATCATGCCGCGGGCTGGTGAGGTATGCAAGCTCCCCTGGCCTGCAGAGGCCGCCGCGAATGCAGCATGCCTCGTCCAGTTGTCGCTAAACAGCTGAGCGACGAGAAGAACCGGGTCTTACGCGAGAAGACATCATAGCGGCCTTACGCCGCGGCGTATGCGGGCCGCCAGCTTGGCACGCCGCGCGGAGAGGAGGGCGCCCACGCGCGACCTGACGCGGAAAGCTCACGCGAGAAAATCGGCAAACACCACTCCATTTTCCGACGTCGCCCAGCAAGCGATTGGTTCAAACCTCAGAGGATCGCTGAGAAAAACAACCGCCAAAGTGGCCCGACCCCATCTTGGAAGGCCCGATCTCCGGCAGCTCCTCCATGTCTGGGCTGGCCGACTCTGGAGGCTCGTCCTTGGGAAGGTGCAGTGTGTGCTCTCGGCGAGGGTGGTCTGCGACGACTTGCTGCCCGCTCTGCGGCTCCACCTCAGCGAGCTCCTGGGGGAGCAAGAGAAAACACCAACACCGCCACTCCTCGGACCTCTCCCAGGGTGCGTTCTGACGAGGATCTCGAGGCTCATCCAGCCGTAGCGACGAGGCTGTTCCAGGAGGCCCAAAAAGGCGGACACGAGGCAAGGGTAGCGATATCTGAGATCGGACGTCGCGTAAAAAATGCCACATCGAGAAAAAAACACCACTGGAGCCCCACACCCAATTCCTCTGCAGAATCTCTCGAACCAACTCGATCCGTGAGGGTCCCGGGGACTGAACTACAGTCATCGCGCTACCAGAAGGAACTCTGAATAAGGAGCGAGGGGGCCTTTCTGGCCACGGCGAGCCTCGGCCACGAAACCAGCCTCCCGACCTGGATCAAAGGAACGGCCCGAAAGCCAGCGCCCCTCCTCAGCCCGAAGTGGCCCTCGCTTCAGCGTCCTGACTTCGAGTAGGGGATCGACTGCAGAATTGATTTACCCCCAAATTGATTTTCCCACCCAATCGACGAACAATACATAAAATGTTCAGTAGATCGATTGCGCAGTCCACATGTTTTGTTGCTTCGACGGAGAAACCAATTTGGGGGTAAAACAAATCTGTAGTCGATGCCCTACTCGAGGACTGTAGGACGAGATCGCCCGTTGCACACAATGCGACGCCAAAATCTCACCGTATTCCTCCCATGACGTCCGGCACGCCACGCGCGGCGGCGGGGGCGCTGCTGGCGCTTGGCCGCCCAGAGCTGCTCACCAGCGCGCGGGCGAGCTGCTCGTGGGCGCGCTGGAGCTCGGCCCCGTGCGCCCGCACCTTCGGTGGCAACTCCCAGAAGCCTCCCGTACCATCTTGCTGGCTCCTGCGAACCGACGCTAACCGACGCTACCCGACGCTACCTCCCGCTGATCGATGCTGAATCGGCGCGGATCGATGCTCCATGGGAGGGCTGCCCTCGATTACCAGACGCCATCGATCGCGAATGCAATCTAAAGACGGAATTACGAGGACATACAAAGCTCCACCCAGACCCCTGGCGTCATGAGTTGTTCACAGTGTCGACCCTCAGAGGTCTCGACCCATTCCCCTGGACCTGATGTTCATCCTGACTCGTTTATTGACGGTCCTGGGGCCCAGCGAGGCCCCCCCAGAGGCAGAAAGTTACCAAAAATTGTCTGCTGTGATTATTTCACGACTCGAGGGGTCGATGTGACGCATAAGGACACACTTGTACTATGCGTTTTCCTTGCAGGCGATCGCCCGACCAAAACATATAGTACAACCATCCTATAGTGTATGGCTTTCTGTGCGGTATCCCCCCCTTGGACCTCCCCTGTTCGAAGACCCCCACCCCCCTCCCCCCATTATTTCCGCTCGTCGGAAGCTACCACCCCTCCTCCCCGCCTTGCGCGCTCTGGAAGCTACCCCCCCACACCCTTTCCGAAGGGGGGGGGCTGAGCTACCCCCCCCTTTGAACCCCCGCCTGCCAGAAGACCCCCCCCCCGTCGCCTTCCCTCCCTGTTTTCCGCCTCACGGAAGCTCCCATCCCCTCCCCCCTTGCGCCTTCCGAAGGCTACCCCCCCACTTCTATCCAAAGGGGGGGAGGCTTAGCTACCGGCAACCAAAAGGGCGCCATAACCAAAAGAAGCGCCGAAAACCAAACAAGTTCCGAAAAACAGCAAGGTGCCGAGAACCAAAAGGCGCCGAAAACCAGAAGAACACCGAAAACCAGAGAGGTGCCGAAAACCAAAAAAGCTCCGAAAATCAGCGGTGCGCCGAAAACTCAAGATGCGCCGAAGACCAAAAGAGCGCCGAAAACCCGAGCAGCGCAGAATACCAAAGTCGCCCCAAACACAAAAGAGCGCCGAAACCCAAAAGCGCGCCGAACACAAAAGGATCGCCGAACATGGAAAGGGCGCCGGAAACCAATGGAGCGCGGAAAACCAAAGGGTCGCCGAACACCAAAAGGGCACCGAAAACCCAAACGGCGCCGAAAACCAATAGGGCGCCGAAAAACAAATAGGCGCCGAGAACCAAAAGGGCACCGAGAATCAAAAGGGCTCCGCAAACCAAAGGAGCGCCGAAAACCAAAGAGGCGCCGAAAACCACAAGGGCGCCGAAAACCAAAGGGGCGCCGAAAACCGAAAGGGCGCCGAAAACCAAAGGAGCGTCGACAACCAAGGGGGCGCAGAAACCCAACGAAAACGAAAGAAGCGCCGAAAACCAAAGAGACGCCGAAAACCACAAGTACGCCGAAAATCAAAGGGGGGCCGAAAACTAAGCAAGAAAAGTAGCTTCGAAGCCCCCCCTTCAGCCAATTCCCTCCAGCTGGACATGCCAACAGGAGGGGAGGGGGGTAGCTTCGGAAGCCCCCCCCCCTCCCCTTTTGGAAAGGGGAGCCCAGGCTTACCCAGGACCCCGAAGAGGAGGGGAGGGGCGGTAGGTGCCAAGCCCACCCCCCATTTAGCCAGGGACCCTCCAGCTATAAAATCCAAACAGAAGGAGGGGGGTAGCTTCAGAAGCCGCCCCCCCCCTTGGAAAGGGGAGCCCAGGCTGACCCTGGGCTCCGAAAAGGAGGGGGGTAGCTTCCGAGCCCCCCCCCTTAGCTAGGGCCCCCCCTAGCTAAAAAATGCCAACGAAGGGGGAGAGGGGGGGAGCTTTGGAAGTTCCCCCTCCTTTTCCAAGGCAGGGGGGGAGGGGGGGAGGGGGGGTAGCGCTGGAGCCCCCTTGAAATAAGGAGTGTTCTACGAGCGCACTCTTTCTACTATAAGATTTCTCGGCGCGCGCGTCGCCCCTGGGGGGGGAGGCGACGCACACACAGTATCAGCATGTTGGGGTGACGCCGAGTCGAGGCTCCCAGGAGTTGCTCCCGAACGCACCTGCTCGTGCGCGCGCTGGACCACCATGTGCGCCTCACCCTGGGCGTCCGCCGCTCGACGACTTCGGCTGCGCCGCAAGTCGGTCGCGCTCGCTCGGCTCGGCTCGCTCGGCTGCCGTGCCGCTGCCAGGCAAAGCAGCACGCGAGCCCTGCCCCCGCAGGCCGGCCGGGGCTCCGAGTTCGAGGGAGGTCTGCAGCCAAGGGATCCCCAGCGGGGGTGTCCGAAACCCCAGCGACGACCGGGCACGCAGGAACAGGGCTCGCAATGGAGCGACGATCCAAAACGGGCCTTATCGGGGAGACGTAAGACTCGGGTACGGGGGACTCGGGTTGGCCTGACGGGGCCATCATAAAAATGACGAGACCCAATATGAAATTTGACGCGTCTCCCGCCGCAGACATCCCACGAAAACCGGACCGTCAAAATCCAGGACGCGCTCGTCAAAAAACGTCGGCAAACCCGAGTTCCGGCTTACTCGAGTCTTACATTTCCCCGGCCTTACGCGAGATGACACGGCGACCTTACGCGGTGGCTTACGCGGGCCGCCAGCGCGGCACGCTACGCTGGAAGCGAGGGCGCTCACGCGCGACCTTGCGCGGGCAGCTTACGCGCGAACGTCGGTGAAGACGACCCCGTTTTCGTGCGTCGCTCAATTGGCAGCCTTCTGGGCCGCCGCCGCCGCGCCCTTCTGGGCAGCCTGCGCCCCGGTCGGCCTCGGTGGGTCTCGGCCTCGCGGCTCTGCTGTCGCCCCAGGCCCCCGAGGAGCGCAACGCACCTGCTGACGATGTCTCCACAGCATAGACCCCTGGAGGTCTCGACGCGATCCCCGGGGCCGGCTTTTCACCCAGGGAGGGCCCCTGGAGGCCGAAAATGGCCCAAAGCCTCCCTGTTCTTTTGCCACGCCTCGTGCTTTCTCCACGACGCAGACATGTGTTGAGCAAGAGCCGACCGTCCTGGCATTCCTACAGGCCTACCACGAGATGATCAAAGAAACAAAAGCCGTGCTCTTAGAACATAAACGCGATGTGTCAAAACGAGACAGTCCCAGCCGGAACTGTTCTGAGAGCACTTCGTGCGCCCCGCCAAAAGTTCGTGACACAAAACTGTGGTGGGCCTATAGGCAGGCCAGGACGCTTCGCCACTGCTCGAACGTGGGCAGGCAGCCTGCGGCCCGTCGGCCTCGGTCGCTCTCGGCCTCGCGGCCGCCTCGGCCGGACCTCGGCCCCGAGCGCCTGCGCCAGGCGCCCGCGGCGGCAGCCGAAGCCGAGCACCCGCCGAACCGGCAGCGAGACCGACCCAATCTCCGACGATGCTCTGGACGTTTCGGTCCCGGCGTACTTCCTCGATTCGGGCCTCTGGGGCTCGTTATCGGGCCCCGGGGCAATTCAAAACAGCTCCGGGACGCTCGATTCTGGTCTCTTTCCTCGATGTCGGCCTCTGGGGCTCGATATCGGGCCCCAGGGCTGTCAAAAACGAATATCCGGGACGAAGATCGGCTCCAGGGCCACGGATTCACAAATCCACATCGGCAGACGTCGGGGGAGCCGGCAGCGAGGCCGAGACTGACCGAGGCCGAAGCGGCCGCAGGCTGCCCAGAGAAGGGCGCGGCGGCGCAGCCAACGGCACGGCCACCGACCGAACCGAACCAACACCGAATGCGGCCGAGTGCGGCGCGGCCGCGACCCCGCCGAACCGCGGACACCCTGGGCCTCCATCGCCCGCTGAAGCAGCTCCGTCACCTCGTCGGCCGGGCCCGGCATCCCCATCCACTGCCTCCCCGAGGAAAGAGAAGGCAGTGCCCGGGAGCGGCCTCGGCCAGAATCGCAGAGAGCCAGAATGGCTGCGGAAACGAAGATTTTGCACCTGCGACGGGTTCGGGCCTGAGCCGCCCCCGTGCGAGACGAAGGCAGGATGAGGATACAAATTCGGAGGGGGTAACTTGGGAATCGCCAAGAACCGGCGGGCCTGGAGCAAGTGTCGGGCGCCGCGGCCGTTCCAAAGCGCTCCAGACCGCTCTAAGATCGGAGCAAGGGGAGTTGGGGTAGTGGCAGCTCGAAATCGGTCCCAAGCGCACCGGTTCCCTGAGCTGCGTCCAGCCATGGCGACGAGGGGGCCCCTCGAAAGCCAACTACGGCTGTCTCAACTCTCGGCTACACGCAAAGAGTGACCCTAGGCGCGGCTTAATGGGGGACGCGGGGTGGACAAACCTAGGCGCGCAAGCCGCAGTGCGGGAGACCATACGGGAGGCCATACCAGAGACCATGTGGGAGACCATCATGCGGAAGACCATGTGGAAGACCATACGGGAATCCATTCGGGAGACCACACGGAAGACCATGCTGGAGACCGTGCAGGAGACCATACGGGAGACCATACGGGAGACCAAACGGGAGCCCATACGGGAGACCGACCACGCGGGAGACCATACGGAAAATCATAAGGGAAAGCAAACGGGTGATCATACGGGAGGCCGTACGGAAGACCATGCGGGAGACCACACGAGTAAACATACAAAAGACCATACGGGAGACCATACGAAAGCAATACGGGAGACCGTACGGGAGACCACACGAGAAACTATACAGGAGAACATGGAGGAGGGCATGCGGAAGATCAGATGGGACACAATATGGGAGATCATTCCCGAGGCAAACCTTTCTGGACACCATCGCAAGTGAGACCATACGGGAGACCGTGCAAGAGAACACGCGGGAGACCATATGGGAGCCCGCACGGGAGACCATGCGGGAGGCCAGATGGGAGACCGTACGGGAGACCTTGCGGTAAACCATACGTGAGACGGTACGGGAGATCATACGGGAGACCATTCGGAGATCATACCAGAGAACATGCGGGGGACCACAAAAGAAGCCCATGTGGGAGACCGTACAAGAGAGCATAGGGGAGACCGTACGGGATACCGTACGGGAGACCATGTGGGAAACCGTGCGGAGACCGTACGGGAGACCACGCGGGAGACCATACCAGAGACCACACGGGAGACCATACGGGAGACCAGGAGGAAGACCAGAGACCATACGGGAGTCCACATGGGAAACCACACGGGTGGCCTTACTGGAGACGATGCCGGAGCACACGGGAGAGCAGACGGAAGACCACGCGGGAGACCGCGCGGGAGACCATGCGGGAGACAACACGGGGAGACCACGGGCAAAATGGGCCGCCAATTCCGCATCTGGACTCGCTCACATTTGCTTCAAAGAACTCTGTTGGACCTGTACGAACAGGTTGCTCAGGAAATGCGGCTCTACGCGCTGGTGAGGCACACTCTGGTACGCACTGCGAAACCACAGGCGAAGAAGCAGCAAAGCTGCGAAACAGCGGGGTTCCAAAGTACTCGTTAGTGAACCCAGGCATCCGACGTCGGGCTTTCGTCACACCGTGGCTCCCCAGAGGTTTGAACCCCTTCCCTGGGACAACTTTTTGTCCCGAGCCATTTTCGAAAATCCAGGACAAGACAAGAGCCCGCGTCGAGGCACCTACGAATGTGCGGCGGGATGGCGCCGGGAAGCCCGAAATCGGTACGGACAGAAACTGCTCGCGGTGTCCAACAACCGACGGTGCCCAAGACCTACAGCGGCCGCTGTTGGCAGGCGACATCCTGTCTTAAAGGGCAAAGTCACAACGTCCGCGGCGACACCGACAGCGAGCCCTGTTTGAAATGAACATGAATTGCTGTCGGTTTTCGTCGTACCCGCTACTTCTGTGGCAACTCATGAAAGCCTCCCAGACCACCTTGTCGGCTCTTGCGAGTCGGCGCGGATCGACACTCATTCGACGCTACATCGACGCACATCGACGCTAACCGACGCTAAAGCGGTGCTACCTCATCGACTCCCAGACGCTAGTCGACGCTCCTCGACGCCAAAGACGGAACCGAGGGGCTGCACCGAGCTCCCGTGACTTGCGACCGAACGCCACGGTGCCGCTGAGACAGCGAAGGCCGCCGCCGCCCGGCACGGTCCCGCACAACGGTCGGGCCGATGGGCGGCACGCCGTCCCTGGGCGCGCAGCCGGCGGGCGCCGCTGTCGGGCGCCCCTCCGCCGCGGGGTTGGAGGCGACTCCGCGGGCGCTCCAGGCTCCTCCCGCTCGCCCGCGCCTGCGCCTTTTCCACCCCTTTTCCTTACGAACTACCCAGAGGCGTACCCAACCCTGTTGTACACATGCGGCGACTATACATCGGACCGCGCAATACAAAAGCGAGCACTGAAGGATCCGCCGTGCCCTTGAACGATTCGCCAAAGAACGTCGGGCCAGAGTCACATGTTCACATCTGCGGCGTCGCTCTTACGAGATAGATCGCTCACAGGGTGGAAGCACCTTAAGGAGAGACGCTTTGAGGCATAATTCGTGGGAGCAGCGCCGCTGGACCCCCCAACGTCGCAACCCAGCCCCCCAATGGTCGGCGAGGTCTCGTGGTGATCTGCGTATGACGTACCTCCACTGGGCCACCTAGAAGCCCACGAAAGAGGCGACAGCTTCGCAGATCGCAGCCCCCCAGGGGACGGCGAGGTCTCGTGGTCATCTGCGTATGTCGTACCTCCGTTGCCCCTCCCAGAAGCCCACGACAGTGGCGAAAGCCTCGCAGATCGTAGCCCCCCAGGGGACGGCGAGGTCTCGTGGTGATCTGCGTATGACGGATCTCCACTGCCTCTCCCAGAAGCCCACGGAAGTGGCGACAGCTTCGCAGATCGCAGCCCCCCAGGGGACGGCGAGGTTTCGTGGTGATCTGCGTATGACGTACCTCCGCTGGCCCTCCCGGAAGCCAACTAAAGTGGCGACAGCATCGCAGATCGCAGCCCCCCAGGGGACGGCGAAGTCTCGTGGTGATCTGCGTATGACGTACCTCCGCTGGCCCTCCCAGAAGCCCACGGAAGTGGCGACAGCTTCGCAGATCGCAGCCCCCCAGGGGAAGGCGAGGTCTCGTGGTGATCTGCGTATGACGTAGCTCCGCTGCCTCTCCCAGAAGCCAACGAAAGAGGCGACAGCTTCGCAGATCGCAGCCCCCCAGGGAACGGCGAGGTCTCGTGGTGATCTGCGTATGACGTACCTCCGCTGGCCCTCCCAGAAGCCCACGATATTGGCGACAATTTCGCAGCGAGGTCTCATGGTGATCTGCGTGGGACACCCTTCCGCTGGACCTTGCAGGAGCCCGGGAGCCCACGAAAGTGGCGACAGCTTGGCAGATCGCAGCCCCCCAGAGCACGGCGATGTCTCATGGTGATCTGCGTATGTCGTACCTCCACTGGCCTTACCAGAAGCACACGAAATTGGCGACAGCTTCGCAGATCGCAGCCCCCCAGGGGACGGCGAGGTCTCGTGGTGATCTCCATATGACGTACCTCCGCTGGCCCTCCCAGAAGCCCACGAAAGTGGCGACAGTTTCGCAGATCGCAGTCCCCCAGGGGAAGGCGAGGTCTCATGGTGATCTGCGTGGGACACCCCTCCGCTGGACCTTGCAGGAGCCCACGACAGTGATGACAGTTTCGCAGATCGCAGCCCCCCAGGGGACTGCGAGGTCACGAGGAAGGGAGGATGTTGCGAAGCCTCGTGACAAGCACATGAGCAGTTGAGACAAGCTAGCGTGGCGCGCAATACCTCCGCACAGCTGTCTTCCAGCTGTCTGCTGGGATAACATCTATATTCCCTTTGGGAAAACCGCAATCGTCGCAGACGGCAGCGGCGTGCCTGCCGACTTCTCCGGCCCACGTCTGCCTAGGACGACCTCTCTTCCTAGCGCCGGGCGGCTGTTTTAGCATGCACGGGGGAGAGGGGCGAGGGGAGGGGGAAGGGGAGGAGGGGGACGGGGAGGGGGGCGGAGGGTCAAAAATAGCGTCTCGGAGAGGGTGCCCTCCCGCGCATCTTGCTATCTGTCCAAACAAACACAGTTGCCTCTGGAGTAAGACACTGCTCAGCTTCATCCGCCCCGCCAGCTGCAGCACGCTGGCGTTGGTCACCCTGCTCCAGTACGAGTGGCCAATGCCAAGAATGCGCCGGAGGCACCTCACGTGGAACGCGTCCACCTTGGCCAGTTCCTGCTTCTTCAGCCAGGTGGTGTGGAGGCTGTAAAGCAGCTTCGTCTGCACACACGCTTCGAATATCATCAGCTTCCTCCGGGTCGACACCGTGGAACGGGACCACACCCGCCACAATGCTTCGAATTCTGCCTTCGCCTGGCCCAGCCGTCGATTGAGCTCCGGCCCGGCTGAACCGTCTGCCGAGAGCACGCTGCCCAAGTAGACCAGGTGCTCCTTGCGGGGGATGAGACCACCGTCGGGCTTAGAGATGTCCCCTTCACACCTCGCAGCCAACATCTCCAGCTTGCCCCAATTGAAGACGAGGCCGTAGTTGGACCCAGCGGACTCTATAGCTCTCATGTAGGACTCTGCCTGAAGCGCAGATGCCCCGACAATCAACGTGTCGTCGGCGTAAACAAGGTCACTGATATCTGCGCCAGCATCTCCCAGGCTCCGCCGGGCGTCGCCCAGGAGGACGGTCATCACCATGACGAAGAGGAACGGAGAGAGCGGGCAGCCTTGGCAGATGCCCGCTCCCTGCGCCTGCCTGGAAGACGTCTGCCCCGCGTCTCTCACAGCAAACATTCTGCCACTGTAGATCGAGCCCACGATGTTCAACACCCGCTCTGGGAGCCCAAAGCGTTTCAGGGCCGCGATCATCGCGTCGGGCATGACGCTGTCGAACGCTTTCGCCCCGTCGAGCGCCAGTAGCACGAGCTGTCCATCTCTAGACGCCCAGACTTCTTCCAGGCGCCGCCTCGCCAGGAAGACGGCATCAGCTGTGCCGCTTCTCGACTTGAACCCGAACTGCGTGGGCCAGATGCGATCCTCGGCCCCGGCCTGCTTCAGGCGCTCGAGGACGATGTTGGCGAAGAGCTTATACCCGGCCTGCAGCAGACAGATCGGGCGATAATTCTCGCATTTGGAAGCGTCGCCCTTCTTGAATATGGTCGTGACCAAGGAATCGTGCCACGCCTCGGGGACCGACCCCTCCCGCCAGCATTTCTCGCATAATGCGAGCGCCCATCTCTGCGCCGCGGAGCCCGCCCTGCACGTAGCTTTCCAGAAATCGCCGGGCACCCCGTCAGCGCCGCAAGCTTTGCCCCAGCGCATGCGCTTGGCTGCCGCTGCCACTTCTTCGCTGCTGATGGGGGCGTCGCTCACGTTCAGCTCGTCGCCAAGGGGCTCGCTGGACATAAGCGTTGTGGCGCGGGGGGCCCACTGCACCTTGTTCAGATACTCGGCCATTGTCTCTGCGCGGCGGTCGGAGTCCACCAGCTCTCCACCCCTGCCCCTCAGCCGTCCCTGTTTCGGAGCAAAGCCCTTCCGGAGGCGCTTCAGCTGGTCCCATTGCCCAGTGGCGAGGAGTGTGTCGAGCCACGCTGACCTGTCGTTGCGTACGGAGCGTTTCACTTCTGCGTGCAGCTGTCTCTCCTGATCCACCCTCCCGCTCAGCCTCGCTTCCGTTCTCTGCTGAATCAGGGACAGCGTCTGCCCAGAGATCCAGGGGCGCTTTGGCGCGAGCTGCAGGCGGGGAATGCAGTCGCCGGCGGCAGAGTGGAAAGAACGAGTCATAGCCTCCTCGAGGTCAGTAGCGGTCACCACGTTGCCCCGCGCGGTTTCCGAGAGCATCGCCGCGTCGAACGCCCGTGCAAATTTCTCGCCAGTCGGCCCCCTCAGCGCTTTAAGATCAAGCTGTCGAGGGCGCCGTTTCTTGGGCTCCCGGGGGACGTCGATCTCCAGATCAGCCACAACGAGAAAGTGATGCGAAGCCAGAGCTCGTGAGCGGTCACTGTGAACATGTCGAAGCTGATGCATCCAAGCGGCGGGCATGAGGACAAAATCGATCTGGCCAAAATTGCGTGGCTCGGGAGGGTCAGACGGCTGACAGCCCACATTGTAGCAAGTTATCTGTCTGTCTGCGGGAACATCGAAGTGCGTGTTGCCAACGGCGAGCCTCAGATTCACACACATCTCTATCAAGAGGCTGCGGTTTGATGCTGGGTTGTGCTCAGCCCGGGGGCAGCCGAAGACGTGAGGGCCAAGGACGTCCTCTTCCTGTGGGAAACGACGGTGCAGCCGGGCGTTGAAATCGCCGTAAACCATGACCGGCCCGTGCCCTGAGATTTTGCGCACAAGCTCCCCCAAGTCAGAATAATATTGCTGCCGGTCTTCGAAGCACTTCCCGCTGTGCGGGGCGTAAGCGCTGCAGACCACCGCCTTGCCCCCACGCACCCGCATCTTCAGATAAGCCATGCGTGCATTTTCCTGCCGGAAGCCCACGATGCTTGAACGGAGCCTCGGGGAGACGATGAAGCCCACGCCGGCCGTCTCCTTGTCGTCTGGGTTGGGAGAGCCGGACAAAATGACCAGATACCCCGTCTCTCTTACATAATACTCCGAAGCTGGTTTATGCGTCTCTTGGATGCACAGCACATCAATGTCCAAGGACACCATGTGCCACTCCAGCTCCGTAAGCTTTGCCTCCGTGAGCCCCTCCACATTCCACGTGCCAGCGCGGAGCTGCCGGTGGCAAGGCCGAAGGCGTCCGCCGCGGAACTCCTCTGCACGCTCTGCTCGGGATAACGGCGCTGCCTCTGCAGTAGGGCCGACTGCAGGTGAAACCATATCGTCAATGCAATGTTGAATTCGGGAGTGAACAAAATCGTTAATAGCAGGTGTAGGGGCGCCACCTCCACCAGCGGGTGAAACTATGGGTGAAACTCTGCTCATGTGCTGTGTTTGCTAGGCGCGGTGGCCCTTCGCGCCCCCCTTGGTCGCCGTGCCTCCGCCCTTGGTGCCTTTCATGCCCTTCGCCGCTTTCGCCAACAGCTCCGTCGATTTCACGGCCAACTCCTTGATCATAGGGTGACCGTGGAGCTCAGTCCACGTCTTCCACTCCCCCTGCCAGTCGTACTGAACCGTGTTGTTCACCACTGTCGCCGTCAGCGCGTGTTCGCCCCCTACCTTGACGATGTGCGGC